GCTTGCCAGGCAGGCACTTTGCCGCTAAGCTAAATCCCCAGCCCCTTATGAGCATTTAGATCACACATGTTGATTCATCCTTTTCCTGCCAAAGCCAATCTGGGTCATAGCTAATTTAATATCTTATAGAAACATGAAGGACCATCATCATCGCTTAGGAACTTTTTACAAATGTAGAATCTCTCGCAAGCCAGGGATTTAGCTCAGTGGCACGGCACCTGCCTGGCAAGCGTGAGGTCCTGAGTTCAATTCCCAGTGTGTGTGGGGGGAAACCTCAGCACACCAGACTTCCTAAATAAAAATCTACATTTTATTTTATTTTATGGTACCAGGAATCAAACTCAGGACCTTGCACTTGCCAGGCAAGTACTTATGCCACTGAGCTATATCCCTAGCCCAAAATCTACATTTTGGCAAGGTCCTCAAGTGGTTAATATCTTTGCTGAAGTTTAGGAAGCAGGAGTTTAGACCAGGTTTCTAGAAAGGAGCAAATAATTTCATTTACACTGAAGTCACTGATTAAGGACTCTCTAGGGTTTTCTTTCCACATCTGTTTGCTTTCCTTGAGCAATATGAAGTCATAAATCAGCCAGGTTAGGGTCTATGCCTGTAATCCCAGCTACTAGGAAAGCTGAGACAAGAAGGACTGTGAGTTCAAGGCCAGCCTGGGCAATTTAGCAAGACCCTGGCCCAAAATTTCAAAATGTATTTCAGACATCTCAGTAGTAGAGTGCTTGCTTAGCATACGTGAGGACCTAGGTTCAGTTCCCAGGGCCACAGATATTTTTTTAAAAAGTCATAAAGGAAAGCATTCCTTGTGGTGACATTTTAATCATCAGGGCTCAGGGACTACTGTGGTCACCTCAGCACTAGTCTCCAGCTTTGGTCCTCTCCAGTCTGCCCTCCACCCTGGCCAGTTTGATAGTCTGGAATTGTAGACCCACACTAAGTTTTAAATGGCATTCTGTAGCCAGGTGGGTGGCCATGCCTATAGTCACAGCACTCCGGAGTCTGAGGCAGGAGGATTGCCGAGAGTTCATTTGAGGCCAGCCTGAACTACATAGCAAGACCCTGTCTCAAAAAGAAAAGAAAATAAGAAAAAAGAAAAGGCTTCCTATGGCCCACGGGATAACATCCAGCCTTCTCAGCCTGGTTTTCAAAAACCTGCATGTTCTCTGTTCCCCTTCATCTCCATTTTAAGCTCTACCAGGCTGTCTACCTCTTTTGACATACACCATGCCTCTGACCCTTCACTTCTACAGTAAGTCCCCGACTTAGGAACTTTCACAAGTGTACTGTATAAGACTCTGTCAGCTTACAAACAAATCCGACTTATGAAAATTCTCTTGGAAAGGACTTCGTTCCTAAGTTGGGACTTCCAGTTCTTTCCCTTCGGTGTAGTTGCCCTTCTTCCTCTCTGAACATGCGTACCTCTCGTCCTTTAGTACCAGTTCTAATGCCCACTTCTCCAGGCAGAAGCCACAGCTGTCTCTGGGCTCTGCAAAGCCCTCATTCCCAAGCTGAATGGAGCACAGCACACACACTTGTCATCTTCTGTGATTCTGCCTTCCCTACATGTCTAGGGTCCACTTGATGGGCAGAGATGAGGTTTTAGTTGTTTCTGGATCCCCAGCACCAAGAACAGAGCCGTGTGCAGCCTCAGTTTCCAAACCCAGGCCAGGAAACTCAGCTCTTGCCACCAAGCTGGGTAAGTGGCCCTTTCATCCTCTCTTCCTTCCTTCTTTCCATTAGTAATATTTGGCCATGTAAAAGCAGCCCCTATCCCAACCACGGTCAGCAGAAATGAAAGTTGGGGTCAGCCTCAGCTGTGGCAAGGCCAACACAGGCCCAGGCTGTAGGAAATAGGAAGTGTTGATCAACTGATCAGAGGAAGCACCACCCGGACCCAGCCTCCCCCAGCTCTCCAGGCCAGGGTGAGGCCCTTCCCAATTCCACCCTCCCAAATGCAGAGCCCCCGCCCACCCACCCCAACACTCACGTGCCCAGAACATCTCGGAAGTCATAGATGTCCCTAATGTCCTCTGCCTGCTTCCAGCTGGGGCCTTCCACTGCCCCCGGCATGGCCCACTGCTCCCTGGCAACAGCCAGGGCTCCTGGAGGGGAACAGAGGAAGGGGACTCAGCCAGGCCCAGCCTTCTCTCTGGGAACTAACCACATTCCTTCTTCAGTTTTACAACTGCACCTACTCACCCCTTGATCCACTCATTTAACAAAATCATTCAACATTCATTCACCAGTCATGTGCTCACTCAAGAACGCCGCGCATGGTGGCGCACGCCTGTAATCCCAGCATTTGGGAGGCTGAAGCAGGCGGAACACTGTGAGTTTGAGACCAGCCTTGGCTACAAAGTGAGTCCAAGGCCAGCCTCAACTACATAACGAGACCTGTCTCAAAAAGACCAAAAAAACGGGGCTGGGGATATAGCTCAGTGGCATAAGCGCCTGCCTGGCAAGTGTGAGGTCGTGAGTTTGATCCCTGGTACCGCAAGAACATTTCCTCCACAAATTCTTATGCCTGGAGAAAAAATTTTGATGATGGCAATGTAATTTTTTACTCAACAAAGCCATGCACTTCTTTATTCCTTTATTCACATTTGTATCCACTACTCCCTTTCCAAATTCAGATACCCAAGGAAACCCTGATCTCTGAGAGGACAGCAGATGGCACCTAGCACAGCCTGTCCAGGTACAGTGCCCTGGACTATTCCCTGTCCCTGGGACTAGAAAAGTCCTGGCCTTGGCCTGGGAACTGCTGGGGTGTCTCCTCTCCCCCTCCCTCTTCTCCCTGCCCTGGCCTCTCGGAAATCAGGTTTCCGGCAGCCGGGGCTTCCAGCAATATCTCAGCCACGTTTTTAAATAGCTCCTTCTCACTGTTACCATGGCAACAACAGCCACAGCTGGAGCTCCCCAGGCTTCTCCCTCCCAACTCCCCCTCTGGGTCCTGGCAGCTTGAGATAGTCCCACCCAATCTTCCCTCCTTGCTTCATCTCACTCTGATCCTGCCTGGACTTTCCCACTCTGAGGCCTCTGCTCCTCTCACAGGAGAGTGAGTTCTCTCCCCACTTATCAGATGGGGAATGGGGAGCCTGAGGTCAGAGGTGGGCAGGGCCCAAGTGAAACCATAGGTGCCCAAATGACACCAGCTGGGGTCCCAGCCAACCTTGCTGAGAGCAGAGGCCATGGAGGAGCTGTCCTCGCAGCTGGTCTTTCCAACATGAAGCTAGACGGGGGCCCTTTCAGACAACATAGCCTCGAAGCCTTGTCCAGGGCCACAGAAGGCAAAGCCAGACACAGCCCAGCATGCTGTGCGGCCTAGGGAGTCTCTCCTCCTCTGTCCCTCTCCTGGAAAGAAGATCTGGTGTGAGATTCTTCCTCCGATGGGACTCTGCTCTGGGACAGAAACTCTGAGAAAGGAAACTTGAAGGCAAGCCCCAGAGGCAGTCTTAGGGGGGCACCTAGAGCTCCAGTAGATACAACCCTTGTATTTCTACACACATCCCTGCACCAGAACCCACCCCAAGCCTCATCCACACCCCTGAACCCAGACACCTGCCTCCAGGACCCATCTTGTATCCAGACAACATGTACACCCAGATGTCAGTACACAGGTCCACACACCCTCCCAGGCACCATCACCCTAACACCTGCCTGCCATCCAACGCCCCTCACTCAGACTTTTTTTCTGACAGGGTCCTGCTATGTAGTGCAGCCTGGCCTTAAATTTGAAGCAATCCTCCTGCCCCAGCCTCCTCAGTGCTGGGATTACAGGACACACCTGGAGTCCTCACTCAGACTTACACTCCAAAGCACACATTCCAGCCAGGAGCTAGGGCAAAGGCAGGAGGACCACAAATTCAAGGCCAGGCTTGAGACCTTGTCTCAAAAAACCAAAAAAGACAAAACATACATCCACGCACACCTGGACAAGACGACCGGAGCACATCTCTAAGCCAGACTGCCGGCTTCCTGCGCACCTTCCCCTCCAGCTCCTCTCCCCCACACCTAGAAATTCCCGTCCTCCAAAGCACATCCCAACTCTTACACACCGGACTTCAAACACGCTCAGTACACAGCGGCCCCGGCCCCCAGCCGGACCTCAGCCCGGAGCACCGCGGCCACCGCATCCCCAGGGTCCCCACCCACAAGGGGCACCGGGGCCCGCCTCGGACCCCGCGCCTGACCGCCCAGTCACGCCTGACCCCGCACGCTGACCGCCTAGCTCAGCTGGCAGCGGCGCCCGCCCTTCGCCGTCGCGGAGCGGCTGAGACCCTGGCCCGCCCGCCCCTGCGGAGCCCGGCTCAGGTGGTGGAGGGAAGGGCCCAGCCCAGTCCCAGCCCCAGGGCCAGCGCCCGGCT